GGACACCCAACCCATGGACTGTGTCGCTGTAGTTTGAGGTTCCTTCAAGACCTGCTTCACCACGCTACTGGAGTATACATTGCTTGAGCTGGGGACTGTCGGACCCTGTCATCTGGCTGCCTGTCATCTGGCTGACTGTTGGTGACCTGCCTTACTGTTTGTTGCCTGTGGCCGGATTGCCTGAATTGCTCTAGAGAGGGCTCAGCTGTCTGCTTCCTTGACTTGCACCCTGAGGCCCTTAAGACTTGAAGAACTGCCAGTGTATTTATTATCTGCCTCATGGAAGTGAGTTGCATTGCACCATTTGTACTGCTCTATAGACTAATTTAGCTGTTTATTATGTATGTTGTATATATATCAATCTATATAAATATATCTAAAATCTTAAGTCTCCTGGCTTTGTTTTTCTAGAGAACGCTGTCTTAACATAGCAATCCATACATCAAGTATATCAAGCATATGTACATGTTTCCATCATTGTTTTATAAACATTTACTTTGTATTTGAGCCCTTGGTATTAGCTCCTCTTATTTCCCTCCCTCCCCCATCTTGCAATCCTTTAAACAATGCTGTGCAATATTTTTCCTTTAGTATGATTTTTCTTAAGTAGATTCTTTTACCTGTATTAGGAAACACTGAAAACAAAAGCTAGTTCACAACATTGACTTTATTTCCCCTCATTGTTTTCTTCTTCCTGGCCCCTACTCTGTGACTGTGTTTTCATCCTCTGATGAAGTCAAATTAATAAGCAACTCCCCTTCACCAGACTCCACTTTAGCTACATGTACTGCATCACAAATCCATTCTCTATCCCCACTGTAGGACACGTGGAAAGCTGCCATCTTGAAAAAAACAACAACACCAAAACAACCTGTTTACAATCACATTCCCTAAACTACTCCATGAGGAAGGAGACCAAGTACTATTAGCTCCCTTTCCTTATGAAAATTCTTATTCAGACAGGTAGCAGGACTCTGAACAAAGGGATGGCTTTAATCCCTTTCCTGCTTTATTCCTTGTTTGCTTACCCAATCATGAGACAACTGAATTCTGACCCTACACTCTTACACTACACCACTGGACACCGTTGCCCATGGCATTTGAACTGTGTTTGCTGGAATAGCAAGAACTCGGAACCAAGTTTTCTGCTTTCAAGTGTAGTTACTTTTTCTATTGAACCAGACTGAGGACTTTTTGGTCATAAAATGGAACAAACTCAAGAAGATTACTACAACCTACTGATAACTGGGATCTTAGGCAGACACAAGGGAGACATGAGTTCTTTCTTTCTTAAGGCATGATTCTAAAACAAGCAAAGACTAAAAATCCATTATCAGCTTACTATGATGGCTTTGTAAATTGTCATCAGTTATAAACTACGTTAACTTTTTTTAATCATGTGAAATGACTGACAAGTCGAAGGTTTTAATATAGTCATAGGTCTAAAAAAAAGAAACTAAATCTCACTTATCTTTGTGATAGTCTTGCTGGTAAAGTATTATTTTTAAGGTATAATTTTGAAACTTCGCTCAGGGGTATCTCACACATTTTAGGTGTAGAATAAGAAAGTAATGAGAACTACCATATTTTTGTGCAAAGAACAAGTGAAGTATGGTTTTGTTGGTTTTCAAACTGTATAAACCCCTTGTGTTGGTTTGCTATGTGTGCTAGGTGCATGATATGCATGAGCATATTATTTACATGGGTGCACATGTGGAAAATGAGTTACATTCTTCACTTCCCTGGCATAAAGCATCATAAATTATTAAGAAAATAGTTCCATCTCCTTACCTCAGTGATTGGTTGCCCCTGATGTGTCAAATCCAGTTCCTGAGGGCGGGTTACTTTATCAATATCCAAAGAATCCATGCTAGAAGCTGCAGAAGTGATGCTGGACCGGGAGGAGTTGCTAAAAGAACGTACTTCAGCATCACTCACGGTGCCTGCTGAGGCTGTTCTTCTGTGCTGGTTAGTGACTAAGGGCTTAGGATCGTCTAGTGCTGATTGCTGAGCAGCCTCATCCATGCTCAAGGAGGCCTGTTCTAACTGTGCAGTGATGTCATCCAGAGAGTAGTTGGCATGTGAAGGTTTGGTAATCCTATTAGATGAAGAAGATAATCCTTTCAAGGTCCCATGTCTTGAAGCATGTCGACTAGCAGGTAGTTTCTGAGCAGCTCTTGTTTCTGCGATTTGACGCTTACTATTTCCTGAACCAATACTGCTGAGCTCCTGCTCTATGGAGCAAAGATCGGCCATCAGGGCATCCAGATCCACGGTCTCTCCCTGATTCAGAGCTTCTGCAATGAAAGCACACACACTGTTTCTGAGACACAGTGAACCAGAATTTATTCCATCTATTATACATCAGTTAATAAATCCAAGGGGAGAAGCAAAAGATCAGCCCTGTGGGTATAAGGCTCATCAACTAACATATTTATAATTCCAATGAAAGTTCTACAAGGAAATGCTTGAGCATTTTAAGATTAGTAGCAATCAGAGGGGAATAAAATAGAAGCTGATAGGCAAATATAATGGAAAAATCATATACTGTTGTCTGGTTTTAACCACATTCACCACTTTTTTTAAAAACCAGAACTCCTATGTTCTGGTAGTCATGGTAATATTGAAAGAAATGAAATCATAGAAGAGAAATATAAGGCTGAGCAAAATTAGATGGGAATGACAACTCCAAGTACTATCAGGTTAAATAGAGTACATGAAATAAGGTGAGAGGGCTGATTTTAAAATTACTGTCAAGTAATTTCACTGAACTTTAAACCCAGTGAAAAATATTACGATGAAATTACTTTTGTTTGGGCTTACAAATGAATATGTTACTTTGTCAATCATTATTAATCAGGTAGAAAACTATTTCAGTTCTGTTTATTTCTTCTGTAATAATTTGGTTTAGTAATATAACTAACCAAGAAAAAAAAAAAACCCAAGTAGTTTTTTTATCTTGAGCTGCTGGGAACTGAGGCTGAATTGCTCCTACTTATATTACTCAGCATTCTATTGTAAGTAGTATTTCCAATTACATCTTACCATTCAAGTTGTATATGGAGAAGCGATAAGAAAAATTTGCCATGTTTGTTTCCTGGCGAAGAGGAGATCTTTTTACTGGTTCCATAGGCTTGTCAGAATCCAAACTCTTGAAAAAAGAATGTTTACTAAGTGATATATTAAATTTAAGCTTCAGTTACATATTATCTAAATAAGGGAGTAAAGTTCGTTTTATGACTAAGTGAATTCCTACCCACATTAACAAAACCAATATCCTTCTTAATATTAGCACTAAAAAACCTTAAAACTCAGGGCCATTCAGTTGATTCCAAATCATAGTGACCCTGTAGGACAGAGTAGAAATGCCCCTGTGGGTTTCCGAGACTGTAAATCTTTACAGGTGTGGAAAGCCTATCTTTCTTCCGTGGAGCTGCTTAGGTAGTTTGAACTGCTGATCTTAGGGTTAAGCAGCCCAATGCATAACCACCAGGGTTCCTTCTTTTTGGTTATAGGCTGTACTACTTCAAACGAACATTTTAAGCAAGCGTGTTGTTGTTGCTAGGTGCTGCAGTAAGGAACCTATGAACAACAGAAATGAACACTGCTGGGTGCTGTACCATCCTCACAATTGTTGTTATGTTTGAGTCCATTGTTGCAGCCATTGTGTATTAAGGAAATTTAAAATCAATAACATTAAGAAAAAGTATAATTGGTTTTCACATTGCAATTTTGATGATTGCAATGTTTTGATGTACGCTTACTTTTGAAGCAAACAAACACCTGAGACTGTCACAGTTCAGAGAAAATATCTTGACGTTGGACAGTGACTGACTTCATTTTACATATATTCACTACAAATAAGCTAGGTATTTGGATATGTAATGATAAGAGAAAGAAAGGAACCCTGCAGAAAGTTATATCTCTTTCCTCAAAGGGATTTGGTTTTGGTCCAGCAGAGTCTCATTCTTGGCAAAAAGTACCCTCAGATAAGGGGCAGTTCTGGGTTCAAAATTAGTGAAATCCAAGAACTTAACAGAAAGACTACAACTTCAGACAATGATGGAATACCGCTGTTCTTTTTTGGCCCTATCCAGATAGGGGCAAACTATAATCTAGCTAAACTGCCAGACCCTGCCTGTAACAAGGCTACAATTATACATTACTTCAGCAAAAGGATGGCTTGTGAGTTATCTCACTGCCTTTTTAACGACTTTTTCCCCCTCGCTAACCTTTCTATAACGAGGAAAATAAAAACAAGTTTGATGTTTTAAATTTAATTTTTTACTTTTAGCTACACATATAAAAATTGGAGTATATAGACTACCACTATAAAAATTCCTACATAATAAACAAAAACAATATAAATTGTAGTCTTAAATAGATTTCAAAGTTTTAAAAACAGCTGGATATTCTATTTGTAGAATTATAGAATTAGATCAGAATGCTATCTTCTTTATTCATTTATATCAAGGTAGTATTAAAACAAATCTATATGTCATATATACACATATACACATGTATATGTGTGTGTGTGCATAGCCTTTAATATCAAACCCAATCCTCCTGCTGTAATTTAGACTCTAATCCTACTCTCAGTAGAAATAAAACATTAAGGTAGTGAAGGCTTTGTTTATATATAAAAAAACCTGAATATATTTGAGGAGATATTAAAAATCATTCTACTTATGAGTTCAAATAAACAAATATTGTTATCTGCTGTGTGCATGGTGATATCAAGGCAACAAAGGAGATAGTAAAAAGTAATTCTTGATGACCACCCTCCCAACAAAACGTAATATAGTAGAAAGTGTTTTTCTTTATAACATTTTTGGAATTATTGTTAATTTAATAAAAAAACTATCAACCCTCCCTATTAAGAAAATATAAGCATACAAGGTTTTACAAAATATTTTAGAAGATTCACCAATCTTAAATCTAAACTTGCTTTACTATGCCATAGTACGCCTGATAGACGTTACAAGGGAACCAGAGTAATGAAATAAACAAGACACTTGATGATGAACCACTAAGTCACTAGGTAAATATTTTTAAAATTTCTGACACATAAAAAAGGCACTTTGTTAGCAGTGAGCCATACAACACAATAATCTTAGTCTCTAAAGGTAACTTCATATAATATTGAGGAGAGCCATAACTATAGGAGCCAGGTTTGGGGTGAATGGCATCATTATGATTACAATAGCAGGGGGAGGGGGATATGTTAACAAGTATCACTTTCTATTCAACCATTAAAACCATCACTTGAAGTAGATTTCTTTTTGTTGTTGTTTTTAAACCCAGTTTTCCAAAGAGGCAAAAATGTGAAGGCTCTAAACTAGTAGAAAGGCCATCTACAGTGGCAGAGCATGACCTGAACACCTGACCGATAGCCACTGTTTTTCCTCTCTGTACCCTTCCCAAGTTTAGACACTAAAACCACACTATACAGGAGCACTATCACCCCTTCTCCGCCCCCAACAAGTCAATTGCATCCTTTCTTTCACATGCTGCCCCTTTCTACTTCCTCCTTCTCCAGTCCCCCACCCCACCTCCAGCATAGAAAACTGAAATGATCTGGGAGCACAGACATAGGAAAAGATCTCTTTTACGACTGAGGACACTATTCCTTCTGATTGCAGATGAAGGGAATGAATGGTCCTGCTCAGTATTCTTCCCCAGATTCAGTATTAACAGATTGGGTTCAGAGAAATGTTTGCCTTTCGAAATGATCTAACAAGAATTATATATGAGTTTCTCAGTTTCAAAACCAGACCACTAGGGGAACCACCGTTAATGAAACAAACTGCTATTGTCACTTTCCCATTAGTTAAAGGGTCACCAAGTGGTTGTCCACCAAAGTCCTTCCCCGCAGCATTCTCATGGATAGGTGAAGCTACGCTTTGTTCTAAAGTTCTGTTACGAAGTTAAATTAACTTAAAGAAACATAAGCCTCTTCTTATATTGAATATAGTGTATTAGCTAGGACAAGAGTACTATATACCCTTTTACTCTGAGTATTCTGGCTTAGAGGACAAGGCCAATCTTTTTTAAAGTAAAAAACCCAAGGTCCAATAAAACAAAATAAAAAAGCTTTGACATGGTTTAAAAAATACAGCCTAGACTAAAATTTTGTCAGTATTCTGGAAAACGTATCAGAGAAAATACTTACATGAGAAGAAATTATGTTGTAAAATGTTCTCAAATTTACTTAGTAATGGGACTGGATGTGCTATATTTAGTCTTTAAAATTATTTTGCTAGCAATCTCAAATTTATGAAACAAATGAAAAAAAAACCTCTGACACAAGTATGTTTTAAAAATTCCTTTAACCACAGAAGATAGTATCTTGTTATATATAATTACTATCCAAGTACTCGTTAATATTTTGAACACTTTTCCTTTCTGACTATATTTTACAATTTATGTCCATATCCTTACACCTACACATTAAAATTTTAGCACATAGCGATGACTTCACATCTGAAGCCCCTTTCTAAAACGTGACTTCTAACCTGAGTAAGTTTGTCTAGCTCCCCCAGCCAGGCTCCAAACATTTTGTCCAGGTCCTGATCTTCCTTATCACTGTCTTCTTCAGCACCATGATCAATTTCTTCATCTGATAACTGCTCCATCTGAAACACAGACATTTGTACAGGATACAAATGGTATATCGATCAATATATACAAAAATGGCATATAGCCAAAATACCTTATTGATTATTTGATTATTAATCCCTTTTTGTTCCTTCAGCAACACAAATGGGTTTGCTTTTGTATAATGGAAGAACTAGTCATTTAAAACCACATGAGGACTCTCAGAATACAAAGTGGAGTGTGGAGCATTTGTTTAGGTCTACTATGCTCTGGTGGTGTAACAGGAGACCTGGTGGCATAACTGTTAAGAGCTGGCTGCTAACTGCAAGGTTGGCAGTCCTGAAAAGAGTTAATCATGAAAATTCACAGGGGCAGTTCTTCCCTGTCCTAAAGGGTTACTATGAGTTGGAATGGACTCAATGGCAGTGAATGAATATGCTCAATGATCCCTAAAAGCAAGGGAATCTTTAATATTTACTGTATATCTATAGTACAGTGGTATATGGATTGGACTGCTAACTGTAAGGTCAACTGTTTGAATCCACCAGCTGCTCCTCAGGAGTAAGATGAGGCAGTCTGCTCCTATAAACATTTACAGTCTCTGAAACTCTAGTGAGCAGCTCTGATAGGAACTGACTCAATGGGCTTGGTATATTTATGTGCAACGTGCCAGACACCGGAGGAGCAGAGAAGAGCGTGAGAGCCTCTGCCCTCAGGGAAAGCACACTCTAGTGGAGGACAGACAAGGAAACCAACAAAGAGGAAGAGTGTAGTTGACTTCCGCTTGAAAAGGAGGGCTCACTAAAGGCCCAGAGAAGGAAGGAGAAGAATGCTACAGGCAGAGGAACCAACATGTATGTGGCAGGGAATAAAGGCCTGAGAAAGTAAGACATGCTGAGGACTCTAAGGGGCTTAGCATGTTTGATGCACAGAATGTGTAGTCTAGACTTAGGGAAAAATGAGTCTGGAGGGGGGGTTGGGGCAAAACTGTAAACCACACCAAAAGTTTGGACTTTATCCTGCAGGTCACTCTTCTTTTCCCCTCAAATGATCTGTTGATGACCTGCAGTAAAATTACCTTCCTAAAATCTACTGAATACTAATTTCAGGAAGATGGGACATTAACAAGTTTCCCCAGGTACTGCTTATGTCTGCTGAAAGTTTGACAACTGCCACTATGTTATGTCATAACCCCTTAGAACTGGCTAGGTAAGCAGTTATGCCTAGCTACAATGTAGTTACAAGTAAAACCACCTACAAAGTTACTATTGTTGTGTCACTGTATTGTGACTCGTGGCGACCTATCGGACGGAATAAAACCATACACAGGAGCTTCAAGGCAACAATCTTTAAGGAAGCAGATCATCACTGAGTCTTGTCTTCCATGAACCACTGGTGGGCTCGAACCCTCAACCTTTTCGTTAACAGTCGAGCAATTAAACATTATTCCACCAGGGCTCCTAACCTAGAAAGAATATTCTCTGAATCCACAGAGAAATCGGGCAGCATTAGAATCCTATAATTAACATATCCCAATTACCCCTCTCTCTTACCATCATTCCATGTTACTTTTCAGTTATTCATTGAGAAATTTTATTTATTTCCAGTTATGGTTTAGGAGCGCGCGCGCACACACACGTAACTTTCATAAAACACCTTCTACTCTGAGATAACTAATTTTGGAGGATAGGGGGAGGAGAGATGACTTCTATGTTCAAGTAGTGCCCCCAACTGTGCAAGATATAACCGTTGCAAATAAAAGCAAGAGGAAGGAAATCTATATTAGACAAAAGAAACAATAGGGAAAACAAAAACCAAAAAATCCCTTCTTGTTAAATTTAGTTAGGCACAAAAAGAGGAAGGGGGCCCATAAAAAAAGAGGAGGAAGTCAGTGTAGAAGAAAATGGAGAGAAACTGGACACAGCATAATGAAAAATTAAATGAGGCTCGTGAGTTGTGGGGCCATGAACTAATCATCTGAATGGGGCATGGGACAGTTCACAGACCTGGTTTTGTCTTGACCTACAACGCTATTTGATCACAGGACCTTCGGTTCTGACGGGAACTAAATGGCATCATTTGTAAACTGCCAAAATGGAAAAAAAAATGGATCTAATAAAATGGATGTAATAATGAAATTGCCTTAAAAGGTATAAAAATATCAACCGGCTGTTGATGGAACCAAGATATTAACTGTATGGATGTATATAGCAATGCTTTTCCTTGGGTTTTGTCTTTTCATTTTGTTGGATGGTCTTGTTAAAAAATTACCTTTAATATCTTTTTATTTAAAGTACTGTGGAAAGGTTTACACTTAAGTTATCAAACATGCGAATTCTTTCCTGGTGAATTTTCCACAGCGGTACAGTGGTTATGGACTAGGCTGCTCACTGCAAGGTCAGCAATTTGAAGTTACCAGCTGCTCCAAAGGAGAAAGAAGGGACTTTGTACTCTCATAAAGAGTTACAGCAGTCTTGGAGACTCACAAGGGCAGTTCTACCCTGTTCTAGAGGGGTCTTATGAGTCAAAATAAACTCAATGGCAGTGAGTTTGTTTTTTAAATACAGGTAGGAGCTCTGTGTGGCAATGTTTGTGTTTTCCTGTTGTACAGAAGGTCAATATGAGTCAACATGCCCTCAGTGGAACTGTAATAACAATAACATGGCCTTCTCAGGAGTCCTTGGGTGGCGTGAAAAGTGCTTGACTACTCATAGAGAGGCTGGCTGTTAGAACCCACTCAGAGGCATGTAGGAAGACAGGGCTGGTGATCTTCTTCCGAAAGGTCACACAGCCTTGAAATCCCTATGGAGTAGCTCTATTCTGCACACCCAGCAGAGCCATTAGCTGAATAACCAGCAGTTAACAACCGCGGTTGAGTAAGAAAAGTGTGGATGTGATGAGGAGGAAGAATGAATATTGGGCAAAGTGGAAATCACAGGTCAATTTGAATATGTGAGTAAAGATCTATGGGGATTCTTTGTACTCTTATTTTTATCAGTTTGAAATTATAGCAAAATAAATTGAGAAAGAGAAAGGACAGGGAGACAAAAAACAAACAATCTCTGCCCTCAGGGAGTTTGTAGTTAGAAAAATTATGTATGTATCAACAAGTAGATCATTTAAAATTCAGAAATAAAATAAAGCTGGCAGACTTAGAAGTATCCTATTCAGGCTTCCAATATAGGCTCAGCACATCTTTATAAACCAAATATAATATGCATGTTAATCTAAGAACAATGGAAAATAATTATATGTTTCTTAAATAAATGGTTTTATTGTGTTTTAGGTGTTGCCTTCTTATATTGCATTTGCCTTGCTTATTATGAAATAAACTTTCCAATTTATTTTCAGTTATGCTAAATTTAGCTTTATTTAATGTAAACAGAAGTTTAATACCTTAGAAAATAATTATGTATAAGATAATTCTTGCGTAGACGTAACCTTCCAATAAAGAAATTAACTAATTTTTTTTCTTTTTAATTGGCTAATCTTTTTTTTTTTT